AATAATATTTAAATACAATTTTTTCGTTAAGACAAGTCTATGAATGAGAAGAAGGGAATTCTCTTTTGAAGATTAATATTTCACTCTGAGATTCCAAGTCAGTGTTCCTTACCCTCAAGTCAATTGCAAATGCTCGTCTGTAAACGCCGTTCTCGGCTCGAGGGCCGTGTAAAACAGACCTCAGATTGGCCTGGGCCCACGGCTACAGTTTGCCAGCCTCTGGTCTGAAGGGCAGTCAGCAAAGTAAGGAAAACACCACATCAGACTGTGGCGGGTGCTGGCAAGGCAAGTCACAGGAACATCACGTGCCGCGTCGCTGAGGCTGGAGCACGCCTGGTGGGTCCCTGGCGGCTGGAGCCTCCATGGGGAGGAGAGCGCCGAGGGGCCCAGGGGCCCGAGCCTGCAGCGCCTCACAGGGCGCTGGAGACTTCCGCTTTTCCTCTGAGAGAGAGGGGCGCCGTGCAGGGTTTGTGTCCACACAGACAGGCTTCGACATCTTAACAGCTGCAGAATATTCCATTGATTGGACTGTTAGATCTTCCACAGTTCTTCTCTGGTGGACAACCCTACCTATTAAACATTAATGAGGTTAATACTTGCAAACAATAAAAATAAATTTAAGACATGGAAAAGGGCATGTGGTAAAGACTCCCCCTCCCTCCCTGCCCAGCAGCCACCCAGATCCCCTCCTCAGAGACAACCACCATTGCCAGTTTCTAGGGTCCCCCTGAAGAAATGGTTTCCACGTCTCAAACAAACACCTGTAGATCGCTCCCTCTTTATATGCAAACCGTGTCCTGCGCGCTGCTTTTTGCCACTCAATGTCTTAATATGATTCCACATCCGTTACACTGAGGGCTTTCTCCTCCTTGACAGGTGGGTAAAATGACTGCCCTGAAATGTGTTAACTGGGCCCCACGTGGACTGCAGGAGCATCGAATACCAGCTTGGGATGCTGGAGGGACACCCATGTGGACGACGCTCCTGCACAGAGCCTGGCACCGAGGCAGGTGCTCAGCACATGGGAGCCCCCAACTCTGGGCCACGCCCTACAGCCTCTTGGACCCAGAAACTTCCCCTGAAAACCGGCCATTTGTATCCCCGACGCCTCCCTCCACAGAGGGCCCCCTGCTCAGGCCCAGGCCTGAATCACTGTTTGTTTGCAGGCAGGTGTGAGACATTCAAGAGGTTTTGTTGTTTAAATCAAGGATAAGGGTGGAGGGTGAGCCTGACTCATTCACTGACCTTTCCAGAGACAATGTCTCCTTCCCTGTCAGGATCAAGCCCCTGCTCTGATTAATCCACTCACTGATTAATGATCTAATCAGCAGGGGCCAGTTAGCTTAATATACAAAGAGCTCTTAGCAAGTAAGAAGTTCATCAACTCGTGACCAAAGGAATCAGGGATAGTTCAGAACACAGAGAAACAAGGGGTTTGGGAGCGTGTAGCACATGCTCGCCCACTCCTGTGAAATGCAGACTGTGACTAGGAGAGCTCGCTTTCCCTTATCAGACGGGCAGAGATAAAAAGTGAGACACGCCCCTGCCTCCGCCAGGTTTGAGAAGGGGCCCCACTTCCCTGCTGGGGGAAGTATAATTTAGTGTCACCTTTTGGGAGGACATTTGGACAAATGCATCAACATTTTACACAACATACCTTTGACCCGAAGTGCAAAGGTGTGTGTCCTAGACATTCGTTGACATTGCCACCTAGTTTGTAGAAGGAAAAAATTGTGGTCTAACCTAAATGCCTGTCACGAGTCCCCTTGTTGATAAGCTGCGTGACGTTGGTATCCTCCGTACAGCGAAGAAGCCTGCAGGACTGTGACAGGTTAAGGGAGCTGCGCGTTAACGATCCGGAACAGTTTTCAGACTCTGGATATTGTTACCTTGGAGGAAGAAGCGAGCTGTTGGCAGCGTGAATCTCCCGTTTGTGTTACATAAAGAAGGGGTGCACATATTAATGGACACGTATATACATATCCCCTGGCCTCTATAGAGACCGTCTCTGGAAGGTCGTACAAGACACCGGTAAAAACAGCTGCCTTTGGGGGTGGAAATGGAGATCCAGCCTTTGCGGATGGAGGGAGGCTTGCTGTTTTGGTTGGTTGGTCGTAAATCACACTTTTTAGCTCTTGCTTTTACTTTTAGTGGGCGACGGACACGCATGGAAAATGCAAGCCTCTATTCAGATTTGCCTTCCTCCCAGAGGCCCTTCCTGGTCCCTTTGGATATTCCCAAACTGCTCCCCAGGGCCGTGGGACCAGCTCTCGCTCCCAGCAGAGGCGTGCGCGCCGCGGCCGCAGGGAGGGCCTCGGCCAGCAGAGGGCGCCCGGGGACCGCGCCGCGGGGTCCGCCGCTGCCCAGCCGCAGAGGCCGCGCGCTTCCGGGAGGACCCGACGCCTCAGCCTCACAGCGCCGCCTCGCCCTCCCCTGCAGGGCGGCCCGCGGCGCACCTCCGGGAGGGCGGGGCGAGGGCGGGCCTGGAGGAGGGACCGCGGGGGCCACTCAATCAGAAGGGAGGGGACCGCCCAGAGCTGAGCAAGGCCCCGCCCCCGCCTCCCACCCGCTCGGGGCGCAGGTGCCGGGGGACCCAAGGCGGATGGAAAGCTGGAGGCGCGGGCGACGGTGCTGCGAGCACTAAGGACCTCTGGACTCTACCCATCGCCGCATCTCCAGGGGATGGGAGTCTTTGCAGTTGAGGAAACTGAGGCTCAGAGAGGCTGGGTAACTCGCCCAGGCTGACCCAGCAGGAGGTAGAGCTGGTAATCAGTCACTTACCAAGTACTAGACTGCGCCCTGACTAAGTGCTTTGAAGAAAACTGAATAGGGTGATGGGATAGAAAGTGGTGCCGGGGCGGTGCCCGGTGCTGGTTTGCCTAGGGCGATCACGGAAGGCTCCCTTGAGGAGGTGTCTTAAATTTTGTTTTGTGTTAAATATCTCATTCATACCAAAAGTGTTTAACTGGTCTATGTACAGTTTAGAGACTAATAATACAGATCTTTCTGTGCTTAAGAAACAGAACATTACCAAGAACTCTCGAAGCCCCTCCTCCTCCAGCTAACTACTCTCCAGAATTTTGTATTAAACATTTCCTTGCTTTTCTTTATAGTTTCCCACCTCCATATACAGCCCCTAACCAATATAGGGTTGACTTTGCCTGCTTTTGAACCTTATGTAAATCCAGCTAACTATGCACTTGTTTGACTTGGTTCTTTCGCTCAACATTACGTCTTTGAGATCTGTCCTTGTGGTCGTGTGGAGCTGCAGTCCCTTTTTATTGCTGTGTAATATTCCCTCATGGGATTGTACCGTGGTTTATTGATCCATGCGGGTTGTTTCCAGTTTTTTGCTATTAGGAACAAGACTGCAATGAACATTCTCTAGTTTCTTCTGGGTTTAGGGCTGGGTAGCAGTTCTCAACGTTGGCTGCTCATTAGAATCAATCACCTGGGGGGTTTTTCAAAATGCTAATCCTGGAAGCCCCCACCCAGACTAATTACATCAGAACGTCTGTGGGGGTGGGGTCTAGGCTCGGGTGTTCCCCAGGGCAAACTAGTCTCGCCAGGGCTGAGAGCCTTTGGGATGTGGCAGGCCTGGGAGGAGAATGGCTGGGAGGAGGAGAGTCACCTGTTACCAGCTGAGACCAATCTTCTCCAGGGTGGCTGTGCCCATTGACACTCCCGCCAGCATGGGACAAAGTCACATCCTCATCAACACTTGATATTGACCAAATTTTAACTTTCCGTCCTTCTGAGGGGTGTGAAATGGCGTCTCACTGTGGTTTTCATTTGCATTTCTCTCATTACTAATGAGGCTGAGCAGTTGGTGAAGTTAGTGCTGAAACAGACTGAAAAAGAGCCAGCCAGGTGAAGACACGGGGGAAGAGAGATTTAGGGGGAGGGAGGATGACGAGCAGGTGCCAAGGTCCTGTGCTGGGGGCGAGGGCTGGGATGGGGAGGAACAGAAAGAGGTGGGTGGGGGATCACTGAGCAGGGGGAGGGCGGAGAATGGCCAAGACAAGGTCAGCAGAGGTCAGATGAGCAGGGCGGAGGGCGGTGGGGAGGACTTTGGCTTTTCCTCTGGGTGACACAGGAACGTGGGAGGGTTTGAGCAGAGGGACACGATCTTACTCCTCCTCCTGCTGTGTGTGGACGATCATGATTGGCACCGAAGAGACTTAGGAGGGGGGTGTATTCTTCATCGTGACTCTGTGTCACCTGTCTCCCCCACCCCACCCTGGACTCCCCAACTGGAACAAGGGGAAGGATGACTCTTTAGTTCACAGCTGTCATCCCCAGCACCCAGGGAGCCTAGCAGACAATGGCCCCTGCCCTCACTCTAGGTGGTGAGCGGAGGGACTCACAGGTTTTCACAGTCCTTGCTTCACAGGTGGAAACGAGTTGGGTGGGACCTGTGGATTTATTTCTGGGCCCCCACCCCCACCCCAGGCCTGGCTTGGCCCTGTCTGGAGCAGGTGGGCTCACAGGAGAGCTGGGTGTGAGGGTCCAGCTGTCGCTCCTCTGAGCCCACCCCACATTGGATCAGTCAGTGCCCCCCGTGGAGCCCAGTGTTGGGTCCTTTAGACACAAGATTGATGACCCCAGGCAGGTGAGGAGACGCCCTCAGTCACACCCCCTTCCCTACTTCTTTCTCCCACCTGCCCAGAGTGAGCTCTCAATGAAACTAAACAGGTCCCTCCTCAGCTGAAAATCCCTCCTTGGCTCCCCAGTGCCCTTGGGGTAAAGTCCAAACTCCGCCAGGCCCTGGAGGCCGGCGCTTCTGACCCTCCCGGCCTGCCCACCCCACCCCCATCCCTGGGAGCTGCTCTCAAGGCCCTGCACAGTTACTGATCCTTACCTGGGGCCTTTCCCCTCCCGATTTCTACACTTCCTCTGGAGGTCGCCCCCCTCGCCCCCTGGCAGGTGACCCGCCTCTTGACGGTCACAGCACCCTGCGGCCTCCCCCATCAGAGCACACTGCCCTTTGCATTGTAATTGCCTGTTTACTTCGTCTGTCTCCCCCACCGGACGGTGAGCTGTCCTTGGGTAGGGACCCCGAGTGTTTTTTCAGGACTGTATCCCCAGCCCCGGGGACAGTCCCTGGCACGTGGTGGGCGCTCAGCAAACATCTGCTACGTGCAGGAACGAATGCGTTTTGCTAGGTGATGGCAGATCGCTCTGCAAAAGGCCACGGCATTTCACACCGTCCGCAGCCTAGCGCAGGTGTCCCTTTCCTCGCACCCTCCCCCGAACTGTGCATCGCCCCTGGTCAATCCCACGCTCTGCGAAGCGCCCGCCGAGCCGAGGAAATTTCCATCCCCTCCCAAGCCCGCGGCGGAGGCGGCTTCGGAACCTCAGGTGCCCAGACCCGCGGCGCACGGCGCCAGGGGGCGCCAGAGGCGGGCGACCGTGCTTCGCGGGGCGGGCGGCGCGCGGGATCCCGCAGGGGGTTCCGCCGCGCCTGGGGCTCCCTGCGCCCGGCGTCCCGGCCCCGGCAGCCCGCCGCAGGGGCATCGGGGCAGCGCCCGAGCCAGCCCCCTTGCGGCCCCCACCCGGCTCCCCGCGCCACGCGGCGCGAGCCCCGCCAGCCCCCTGCGCACCTGCTCGGGGCGTGGCCTCCGGCGAAAGAGCGCCTCGATTGGCGCGGGGGTGACAAGGGGCGTGGCCTCACAGGCCCCGCCCCCCTCGCGGTTGGAGTACTTAAGCGAGTCGGCGCCGCGTCTCCACTCAAAGCGCAGCGGCGCGGCCTCGCGGGTGGAGTGTCCCGCGACCCCAGCGCGACCCGGCGACTTCGGCTGCTTCGGCCACCATGCCGCGCTCTTTCCTCGTCAGGAAGTCTGCCTGCTCGCGCCGGAGGCCCAACTACAGCGAGCTGCACGACTCCTCCCCGGGTGCGTGGTGAGCTGCCGGCGGTCTGCGGGGACCGGCGAAGGCTGCGTGGGGGGCGCTCTGAGCGAGGGGGCCTTGGGGACCAAGTCGAGGGACCAGAAGCGAGGGAAGGCCTCGGCGTGAGGCATTGTGGGGGAGCTCCGGGGAGCCCGGGCAGGTGGATGCGGGCGGTTGGGGGGCTTTAGGGGACGGGGGTCCTGAGCTCAGGGGCCCCTCGGCCACCGGGAGGCGGGGAGCCCGAGGGTGGAGCGGGGAGAGGAGGCGGCTCGCGCCGGGGCCGGGCCTGCGGGGCTGGAGAGTCCGGAGTCCAGGGGATTTGGGGGAAGAGGTGGGAGCAGGGCTGTGCGGAGGAGGGGGCCGGGCTGGGGTGGGCCTTGAGAGCTGCGAGGTGGGGGCCTGGGGGGCTGGGGGCTGGCCTCAGCCTCGGGACGTTGGGATCTCGGGAGGAAGGAGACCGGAGAATAAGGCCTTGAGTTGGGGCTGGGCGGGGAGGCAAGATCTGGAGGTTGAGGTGGGAGAGCCAGATGACCTGGGTGAGGAGGGGGCTTTTCCAGGGCAGGAACTATCTGTCCTCATCACAGTTATTTTATTCGTCTAATAACATGAGTGCCAGCCCCACTCACCCCCTCGCCGCCATCTGGCTAATGTTTGTTGACTGACTGGCTGATCGAATGCCTGACCTTGCCGTTTTCTTTGTCTCCCCTCAGAGTTCACCTTCCAGCAGCCCTACGACCAGGCTCACCTGCTGGCGGCCATCCCGCCTCCCGAGGTCCTCAACCCCACGGCCTCACTGCCCACGCTCATCTGGGACTCGCTGCTGGCACCCCAGGCCCAGGCGATTGGCTGGGCTTCTCTCCTGCCCCAGGAGATGCCCAAGGCTGTCGTCGAGCTGACCTCCCTGTCGGACGAGGACAGTGGGAAGGGCTCCCAGCCCCCCAGCCCGCCCTCGCCGACTCCTTCGTCCTTCTCCTCCACCTCGGCCTCATCCCTGGAGGCTGAGGGTTTTGCTGCCTTCCCGGGCTTGGGCCAGTTGCCCAAGCAGCTGGCCGGGCTCTCGGTGGCCAAGGACCCCCAGTCCCGCAAGGCCTTCAACTGCAAATACTGCAACAAGGAGTACGTCAGCCTGGGCGCCCTCAAGATGCACATCCGCAGCCACACGCTGCCCTGCGTCTGCGGCACCTGCGGGAAGGCCTTCTCCCGGCCCTGGCTGCTGCAGGGCCACGTCCGCACCCACACCGGTGAGTGTCCCGTGGCCGGGGCCCCCTCGCCACCCCGCCTTCCCACCAGCTCCTGGGGGACTGGCCGTGCTGTTCTTTCCAGGTTGTGGAAACTGAGGCCTGAGCTTCCTGATCTCCAGCTGGAGAGTCGCGAGGCCTGCTCTGACATGTTCAGACGCTCGCTCGCTCGTCAGCTGAGCAGACGGGCCCAGTCGGTAGCTTCTCGAGTGCCTCTGCGGCTCCGGCTGAGCCAGATGGGCTGGAGGTAGAGAGGGGCAGCGGCGGCCGGCCCCTTGCTGTGGGGGCCGGTGTGAGGGGCCACGCTGCTCGCCCCGCCCCAGCCCCAGGCAGGCAGGATGCTGGCAGACCCCCCGCCTGGCTCCGAGCCCTGCTTTGATAAATTCCCCTTGGGCTGATGTTTTACCTCTCCGAGGCTCAGTTTCCTCATCTGTAAAATGAACATAAGAACACATTGTGGGGTTTCCCTGCCGGTCAAATGAAAGCAAGCGCCTGGGATGGTGCTTGGTACGTAAGTATGCACGAGAGTGGTGGCTGGTACTTGTTCTGCTTTCAGGCTGTGTGACCTTGGGCAAGGAGTTTAACTTCTCTGAGCCTCGGGATTATGATATCCTAGTCATATGGGGTGGCTTAGGATTGCATTTTATAGGGTGGCTGTCAGGATTCAGCGGCTCCTTAATCACTGTATAATAGTTTATTATTGTGGCTTTCTCGGATCTGCTCTCCGCGCCCGCCGTGGAGTGAGTGAACTCGCTCCTATCGTGCAGGCCCAGAAAGTGCAGTTCTGTCTTGGTGTTTCCAAAACACGATCCTAAATGCGTGGACACTTGTGAAATGGAGCTGTCTCGATCCTTTAGCTTTCTGGAGATGGAAGAGGCGGCCTCTCCATCTTGTAGAACTTGCACGGGGAAGCCGCCGAGGCCGGGGCTGCTCTGTGGAGAGTGACGCTCGAGGCAGAGGGTTCAGGGGTCGTGACTGTTGGCTTTGGGGTCAAGCTGGCCGGGTGGGGCAGACTCAGTGCTGGCATTTCCAGGCGAGTGGCTGACCTCTGGGTCACGAGGGCGGTGGGGGCTCTGGGGGCCTGGCATTTTACAGGCCTTGTTGGTGTTATTAGGGGTCCTACAAGGTGGCCCTGGCACCCTGCGCAGTCTTGGTCCCTGGTTCCCGTGTCGCATACTTTGTGCACAAAGAGCCCTGGTTTGGACGTGTGAAGGTCCAACTGCCCAGCTGGGCCCTGGCCCTGCCGCTCGGAGGGCCCTATTTGGGGGCGTGGGAGCCCTCAAGGTGCTCCCCTGGCCCCCAGCCTTTCTCCCCTCCCATTGGGACATTATTTTCATGTAAAGGCACGGCCAGACACACAAAGCCTGTTGAAATGCGCCCTGGCCATCCGCATTGACTCCCATTGTGCCCTTAATGGTGGCCGGGGGCGGGGCGGCAGGGGAGCAGGTGCACGGGGCGCGGGGCCGGCACCTGTTCCGCCGCAGCTGCTGGCCCTCCTCGAGTCAGGCCCCTCTAATCCGGGAGGATCGCGTGTACGGCGCCCCCCTCAGCGGCCTTTGTCCCCGCCGGCCTGGTGCCCATTTCACACTCGCCCGGAGCTCCGCAAAGATGTCTTGGGGGTGGGACCCGCAGGGTGGATCTGTGCCTCCTACTTGCCCACAGACCTGCCCCGTCCCGTTCTGGGGGCCTTCCTCCTGCTCTGCTCGGGGTCCTGTCTAAGCACGGGTGACACCGGGTAACGAGGCACGTGTGCAGGGCCTACCTCCCCCATGCAAGCACAGTAAACCCCCAGCGGCCCAGGAAGGGGTGCCATCACAACCACCACCTTACAGAGGAGGACACTGAGGCACAGAGAAGGAAGTGGCTTTCCCGGGCCACAGCTCCTAAGGCTGGAGCCAGGAGGCGAGGGCGGGGCCCTGGGCAGTGCAGGCCTCCATCCCCTTTCCCAGACCTACAGTCAGCCCTTCGCTCGCTCTCCAGGGAGTGTGTGCACACAACTGCCCCTGGACCGCGGAGAATGCAGCCGGCAGGCCCTCGTGCCTGGTGGGCAGAGGGGCCCACGACGGCCGAGCGGATGGCTCAGGTGCCCCTTCCCCAGGCCTCCACCCAGGTTCCCCTGTCTGCATTGTGGCCTGTCTCCTTGTGTCCCTGCCCCCGAGATTGAGCCCAGGAATGGAAGGTCCCCAGGCAGCCTCAGGCGTCTCCTTCTGGACCCTCCCAGTGCCCAGCCAGTGCCGCAGGCACCCAGCAGGACAGTTCCTTCATTGCCTGCTGAATTCCAGCCCTGGGACTTAGGAGGGGGCCACGGCCTGGGGGCAGGTCAGGCTGGGAGCCGAGGAGAGGGAATCATGGTTTCTGGAAAGGAACGTTCGGTGTTCTAGAATGGCGCTTGGCACTGGTGGGAGCTTGATAAGTATTTGTTTAATGAGTTACTATTTTTATTTGGGAAATGCTGCACCCCCAAGAAGAAACAAGACACAGTGCTGTCAGTGTTTTTGGACCCTGAACTAGATCCTCTTGGTTGGGCAGGAGTTATGAAAAATTGGTGAACAGCGTTATCTGGTTGTGATTGAGGGCTCAGGCTTCTCTGAGGCCTTTAAAAAAAAACCCAAAAACAACTGACTTATTCACGGTACAAGCACTTATTGAGCACTTACTGTGTACCCAGCCCTGTGCGCGAGATTCTTCCAGCACAGCAAGTGGGCTGAGGGCCACCTGCCTGGAGGGGTTTTAAGTCATAGGGTCAGAGGATTCTGTAGCCTCTTGGGGGTTCCAGGCCCTGGGCTGGAGGCTCGGAATGGATTCAGGGGAGGCCCTTGCCTCATGGGAGTCAGTCGGATTGGGGCACAGACGAGGAGACTGAAGTTCCCCTGAGTGTGTGTGATGGGGAGGCGCCTGGAGGAGGGGCCTGACCTGCTGGCAGTTGGGGGACCTTTAAGGCTGCCTCCTAAGCTTTGTCCCAGACCAAGTAGATCCAGACACGACACTATGGAGCGCCCGCCGCAGCCCCTACCCTGTGCGGGGGGCTGAGATCCAGGGCTCTGCAGTCGGGTGCATGGTCCTTCCTGGGTGACTCTGTGTATGCCGCTTAACCCCTCTGTGCCCCAGTCTCACCCTCTGGAAACTGAGGACGAGGATGGGACTCAGTGAGATGAGTATAGGCCACCCCTCCCTGTCCTGGCAGTGAGATGAGTATAGACCACCCCTCCCTGTCCTGGCAGAAAGTCCGTGTGCAGCAGACACAGTCGCCCCCACTGTCATCACGGTTGTCTGCTGAGTGCTTCCCGCCGGCCCCCAACCCCTGTGAGTGCGGGGTGATGGCCATTTTACAGATGAGCAAATGGAGGCCCAGAGAAGCCCCCGACTTGCTCAGGGTCACACGGTGGGAGGCGGCACAGCTCCCGATGGCATCCAGGCCTTAGGACGCTGGCCGGGGCCTGGTTTTCCTGGATTGGGGTCCTGGTGGGGCTGAGCTGGGCTCTGACGGCTGGCGGGGGGAGGGGGTTCAGTGGCCGTCAGCTGTTCTCCCCGTGACTCGGTCTCCCCCACCCGCCCCGCTGCCTCTCTGCAGGCGAGAAGCCCTTCTCTTGCTCGCACTGCAGCCGCGCCTTCGCCGACCGCTCCAACCTGCGTGCGCACCTGCAGACCCACTCGGACGTCAAGAAGTACCACTGCAAGGCCTGCGCCCGCACCTTCTCCCGCATGTCGCTGCTCCACAAGCACCAGGAGGCCGGCTGCTCTGGGGGCCCCCGCTGACCGCAGGCTCCTCCCGCTGCTCCTCCCCGGGCAGCGCCCCGACCGACCCACCGCCGAGGGCTCCCCGCCACCTTCCCTCCGCTGCGCCCGCCCCACAGGGCCCGGCCGTCTCCAGCGCTCTGCTCGGGGCCGCGTGGTTCTGCGAGGCCTTTCGTGGCCGTTTCCGTGGACGGCCGCCGGTGGGCACTGGGCTTGTGCAGCGGAGACCCTCCTGGCAGCCGCCGCTCCGGGGCTTCTGGAGTTGGCCTGTCTGTCGGTTTGTGTGTCCGAAGCTATTTGGATGCAGCTGCTTTGAGCTCCAGGACAAAAGCCAGCAGACTGATGGGGAGCTCCCACCCCACTCAGGGGACCCCTGCCCCGGAACCCTCAGGCCACCCCTCCAGGAGGTGTGACTAACTATGCAATAATCGCCCCCAGGTGCACCCGCGCGGCCTGAGGCAGTAACGGACACAAGGACATGTCTAGACCCCAGGATGCCCCCCGGCCTGGGCAGCTATTTCGAACTCCCGTTTGTCATGGTGGCACCTGTTTCACGGGCAATTTAACAATGTCTCAAAAGGGACTGTGAGTAATTGCCATCACTTGTCCAGGCCCGAGCGGGGCACTTCGGCCCCACCGATGTATCTCCCAGAACTATTTTCAGGCCCGACAGGTGGGCCTGGAAGGAAGATGTTTACATTTTTAAAGGTACACTGGTATTTATATTTTGAGCAACATTTTGTACTAAGGAAACGTTTTGTATAGTTATATGTACAGTTTATTGATATTCAATAAAGCGGTTAATTTATATATAAAAAAGTGTACTTGGTTTTATAGAGGAGTGAGGAAAGAGGGGCAGGCATTCCTGGAGCTCAGATATTCCTGACACAGCCTTAAATCTTGTCCTTTTTTTTTTTTTTTTTTTGAGGAAGATTAGCCCTGAGCTAACATCTGCCACCAATCCTCCTCTTTTTGCTCAGGAAGACTGGCCCTGAGCTACCATCGGTGCCCATCTTCCTCCACTTTGTATGTAGGACCCCTGCCACACCATAGCTTGCTAAGCGGTGCACCCGGGACCTGAACTGGCGAAGCCCACACCGCTGAAGTGGAGCCTGTGAACTTAACTGCCATGCCGCTAGGCCGGCCCCAAATTTTGTGTTAAACATCACGTGACTTTGGACTTCTGGGTTTGACTGTCAGGGGCCTTGTTTGTGCAGATGGTTTTCCTCTGAGCCTGAGCGTCCTGTCCGATGAGGTTGGGAAACACCTGGGGGCCTGTGAGCCACAGGGGTGTGTGCAGGTCCCGAGCACTCCACGTCGTGGCCCCTGTTTGTTCTCTCGTTCTCCCGTTTTGAAGCTGAGCGGGCCCAGAGCGAGGGGCCAGTTCCCTGGGTCTCATGAGCTGGACAGGCTTCCAGGCTCTGCCCCAGCCCTGCAGGCTTTTTGAGGAGGGATCCGCTGCCCCTCCCAGGGAGGGGGTGGAAGGCAATGAGCAAGGAGGGGACAGAGGATGTCCTTCCTGTTTCCAAGGGCTCTGGGCCCCGCTCCGGCCTCCCTGTCCGACCCACACCTCTGTCTGGCCGCTGGGTACCAAATGGCCTTTGATGCAAGGAAATTGGCTGGCTGGAGCCAGGAGGGTGAGAAGCCAGGCCAAAGGGCTAGGGGTCATTCAGCTTCCTGCTTGAGGACAGGACGGGAAGATGGTCAGCTTGCGTCCTGGGCTGGGATAATTCATTCCCGGTTGGCTGTCGTGGTGACCTCACCTCTGGGGCCCTCCTGGGGCCAGGAGAAAATGAGTGTCCTTTTTGAACACAAAAGGTGCTGAAGGTGCCAGTTTCCTGCGGAGGGAGCTGAGCGGTGGTGCAGGCGTCCTGGAGCCCCGGAGCCCCAGCGTCAGGCCGGGGGTGGGGGGGGTCTCATGTTCCAAGGGAGAGATGATTCTTTCTTCTAAACAGGAAATGGTGACCCGCAGGCCGGGAGCAGCCCTTAATGACTTGCAGCTTTCCTCCCAAAAGAAAAAAAAAGTTCTCTAACAATCGCCAAATTGTAGCCGGCCTCCCTGAAGGGAAGTTGAGGGGGTGGGAGGTTGGGCACCAATTTGCTGAAGGCCTACTGTGTCCCACATCCCTGGGCTGTCATTTACGTCATCACACAGTAGGTGCTGACATTGATGCTGCAGGAATAAACGACTTCACGCACACATGGAAACCCCTGGCCCACATTTGAAATTGGAGGTAACAGGCTCCCAACCTCCTGGGGGTCAGGTATGCCTGTGGCAAGGCCCCTGACCCTGAGGGCTTGGAGCAGGCTGGCCTCACTCGGACCCGCAGTCTCTGCCTCTGAAATAGGGTGACGAAGTAGGAAGAGGAAGGCAGTGCCCTCCTCCCCAGAGACTGTAAAGGGGCGTCCACGCGGTGGGTTTTGATGAGTGTCGTGTGTGCCAGGCCCTGTCCTCGGCCCTGGGGTTAGAGCCGGGGACACACACGCCGTCCCTGCGCTCACGGAACTTGTGTTCTAGCGGGGGAGACAGAAAACAAACAAGTGGTTAAATAAACAAGGTGCTTTCCTACAGTGACGATGCCAAGATGGCCTCGCGGCTGGGGAGCGGGTGCTGGAGCGCGGCGGGCGGGGCTCCCTGGATCAGGCAGCGGCTGGAGGGCCCTGACTGCCGAGCCCGAGCCCGAGGAGGAGAAGGTTCCAGTCTCAGCAGGGAGCGGCAAGTGCAGAGGCTTCGAGGAAGCCGCAATGAGCGAGACAGCGCGCTGAGGGTCCGGGGAGACAGGCTGGGAAAGGAGGGCCGGCCGGACCCCAGGGCGCGTGCGGTGGCAGGAGTGGGGGTCCAGCCCTGGGCCAGCTGAGCCGGGCTGTCCGGCTGCTGGTGGGGACGGAGCTGGCCGGTCAGTGGAGGAGAGAAGCGGGAGCTGCGGGCCCAGCCCCGAGGCCCGGGTAGGAGGCCACTGCGGACGGGGGTTTGAGAGGCGCTGTGCTGGGCACCCCCACGCCTCGGGGAGTGCGAGTTATTCAGGGTTATGAAAAGGGGGTGTTGGGCCCCGGTGGCCAGGGTGGGATGGAGATAAAAGAACAAGGACAGTCCCCATGTTTCCATGCGCGATGGCCCCCATGGAGCACATGGCGAAGTGATAATAGCGCCCTGCAGCTCCCGCGGCTGCGCGTGCGGGGCGACGGGGACCCAGGCTGCTCTCCGTCCTCGTGTTTGCGAGCGGAAACCCTGGAAGGATTTACAAGAGAGTCACGAGAGCAGTTCCCCAGGGAGTCGCAGGAGGCGAAGCAGGGTGGACGGCCACGGGAGGGAGGAGACACGGAGGTCGTTTTTTTAGATTTTCCAAAAACTTTGTATTTGGAAGTAATTTTAACTTGACAGGAAAGTTGCAAGGAAAGCGCAGTGGACTGGCGTCTTTCGTTCCGATTCTTCATGGTGTGAGCGCGCCCTCATCTTTGCTTCTGCGCGCTCTGTGCGCACGCACCCGCGGTGCTGGCCGCGGAGCCTCCGAGCGCAGGCGGTGGACTGTGCCCTTTATCCCAGCCTGTGTTTCCGAGGGGCCGGAGCATTCTCACGACCACAGTGCGATGGCCAGAATCAGGAACTGTGGCGCTGGTGCAATGCTGCTCCCGAATCCACAGTCATGACGTGGTTTCTCCCCTGTCCCAGTGACGTCCGCACAGCACTCAGGGGTGGGAGTGGGGACAGGCCCGGAGCACGCGGTGCATTTACTGGTCCTGTCTCTTTAGTTTCTTTTTTCCTGGAACAGCTCCTTTCTTGGTCTTTCACGACTGATGTTTTTGAAGAGTTCAGGTCAGCTGTTTTGCAGAATGTCACCCAATTTTTGGACTTTCCTGATGCTTTCTCATGATTAAATTTGGGTGGCGCCCTTTGGGCAGGACCACAGAACCGCGTTGTCTTTCCTAGTGCAAGGGATCAGAGGCGCGTGAGGTCAGCTTGTCCCATTCCTGGTGACGTCAACTTTGACCACTTGATGAAGGTGGTGTCTGCCAGCTTTCGACTGGATAAAGTTCCTCTTGTCCCCCTTTTGTACTTAATCCGTATCTTGCGGGGAGACATTCCGAGACCACGTGAATATCCTGTTACTCCCCAAACCTCCACCCACAGGTTCTAGCCTCACTGGTGATTTTCACCTAAATCAATTATTCCCATGATGGTTGCCAACGGATGATTTTCGAGCTCCATCGTTCCTCCTGTTTTTGCTGGTTGGCTCTCTGCTGTCGGGGAGAGGCGTCCCTCCTCTGTGTGGGCCGCAGCCTGGCGCAGTGGGGCCGGGAGAGACGGGGTGGGGAGCAGCCGGGTCGGGCCGGGCCATTGTGTCCTGCTCTAGGCTTTCCCTTAGGTCCCATCGTGGGAATAAACTGGCTGTAAAGCCACTCTCCGTGCAAGTGTCCAGGCAGGCAGGACGGGCCAGGGCCACCTCTGGGCACATCTGGGCCCCATTAGTGACCCGGCAGCTACTCATGGTGCCTCTGGAGCTGGGCTGAGGGTACTCTGGCCGGCAGGGACCTGGGTCCTCCTTGTTCCTCTTTGCTTCCAAATTGTCCATTTCACACATTATGGGAATTTATTCTTTCATTGAAAAAAAAAATAAAAGATTAGATGTGAGGCTCAAGTGATGTGTGATCAACACGCCCATTCCGCTGCCTTCACTGTCCCCAGTGTGACACTGGGAAGAGCTTACTTTACATCTTTCTAGATTAAAAAAATAACCATATATATTTACGTGCACACAAGGCTCCGGTCTCACTCACAGAAACAGCCCACGTCCTCACCTCACCCGCAGGCGCCCGCACGGTCCAGCCCCATCACCTCCGCCCCACCCGTCCCCCAATCCTCACTCCCTCCAGCCACACGGGCCCTCAGCCACCCCAGGGCCTTTGCACTTGCTGTGCATCTGCCAGGAAGACTTGGCCCCCAGAGAGCCACATGGCTGCCTTCCCCCACCGCCCCTCGCCTCTTTGTGTTCCAGTCCCCTCCCCTGTTGTTTTTTCCTCCATTGCATTTGTCACCATCTGACAAGCCATATATTTCGCTCTTCACAGTTTCTCTGTTGACTGTTTCCCCCACCAGGATGTCAGCTCTGTGCGAGTGGAAATTTCGTCTGCTTTGTTTGCTGTCCGATCCCAGGTGCCTCACGCCTCGCATGCAAGAGGTGCACACTTAACAAAACTTTGCTGAGCCGGCCCGGTGGCACAGCAGTTAAGTGCGCATGTTCCACTTCAGTGGCCCGGGGTTCACCGGTTTGGATCCCGGGTGCGGACATGGCACTGCTTGACACGCCATTCTGTGGTAGGTGTCCCACGTATAAAGTGGAGGAAGATGGGCATGGATGTTAGCTCAGGGCCAGTCTTCCTCAGCAAAAAGAGGAGGATTGGCAGCAGTTAGCTCAGGGCTAATCTTCCTCAAAAAGAGTAAAATAAAATGAAAATAAAAAATAAAGCTTTGCTGAATGAATGATGAATGAATATACGTGCCCCTAGGAGATACAGTGTGGACACCACTCTCGAGGAGCACTTTCTATGTGCCAGGCACTGTGCTGAGCACCCCACATAGACTAATTCATTAAACCTTCACAACCGCCTCCAGAAAGAGGAAACCTAAACACAGAGAGGTTAAGTAACTTGCCCAGGGTCACACAGCCAGTAAGTGGTAGAGCCGGGATTCAATTTACTGTTGTCATTTTGTTCTTTCTACCATTGGGATGGGTGTAATTAACACGTTTAATGTTCAGGGAGCCGGCCCCATGGCTGAGTGGTTAAGTTCGTGCGCTCCACTTCGGCAGCCCAGGGTTTCA